GCAATACCTTCAGGTTTTGGGCTACGTGAGGTCAGTATGTCAGATGCTATTCGAACTGTGTCCGGGGACTTGGTTCTGGAGAAGATAAAGCAGTGCTTGGAGTTTTCAAGTTACTTTGCAATTCTTGCACTGTATGTAAGCAGATTGCGCAGTGAAATAGCTCTTGAGATTGCATGTTGTCTAACCAAGCAGTGCAGATAAATGAGGCCTTGGTGGTATCAAGCTTCATAGTCCGTTGTTAATGTGAGTCCCATGCTGACTTGTCAAGATGCTAATGAAGATGAATTAGTGATAATGGTATTGACTTCTCAAGAGGATAAAATATGGTGACAAGGAATAACAAAATAGGAGAATAATTGAGTATATAGTACATACAACATTTCCAATATCTCCGGTGGAATCAGAAGCTTCATATGTAGGAGATTATGCAGCTTGCCATTCATGCTTTAGCGTGTCGATACAATACAGTGTAACCTGCCCTCATGAGCTCACACGCACGTAGGAGAAATGCAGACATTGTTGTTTTTTTTGTGCTTGGTGTGAGGTGCACATGAGGCAATATGATGTGAGCAATAGTTGGAGATGAGGCAGTGTGAGAGGCATCATTCAAAGCCTTTCAATACAATTTCTACATTTCAATTGGATTGTACGTACTAGTAGATTAGCGGTCGCTTGTATCGTTTAGCGACACTTATCCCGGCTTCCGTCCAGTCAGAAAGTGACTGGACAGAGACATTCCTGATCCTAGCCGAGGTTGAGAGGGGAGTTTTGGCCAGAATGCACCTTTACCAACCAGACTATGTCCATAGGGCGGCACGCGATTGCTGATATAAAAAAAAAAAAAAACAGACTATGTAGCCGGAATGTGACAAACAAGACTCTCTGGAGAAGGCACTCTCACCAACTATTACTAAATTAAGCATTTCTCGTGTGTAATAATCATGAGAGAGCTTGTCATGAGGTGCAGAGGGCCCAGTTATACTAACCAAGCAATGGTTGTGTGGTGTAATGGTAGCACGTATCGTTGTGGACATTCCAATTCGGAAGCCTGAACGGCCCGATACAATCGCGGTTCGATTCCGTGCACAGCCATCTTCTTTTGCTCCTTCCTGTCCAGCTGAAGGTTATAGTCTTTTGCTCCGGTGATGTGAAACGAAAGGTGTTTATTAGTCTGGTTAGGTGTTTATGTACAGCAGTCTCGTGAACCATTCGTAGTGATATCAGGAATTGTAAGGACATGTATTTCCCGACCGACTTGAGGCAATAGCATTTTTCACGATATACGTTGCGATTAATCTTATAGTTACATCATACCACACTAGTTACAGCAAGTACCCGTTTTAGAGATTTCTAACCGACAAGTCACTGCCAGTCCCGACGCAAATTGCTACTTCGTAGATATTTTTCTATATTTCGTTCTTGCCCCCCTCAGCACCGCGAATATCTTTACAACCGGTAAACAGTCATATAGCACGACACACTGTAAGGTGCTGTCTAAACTCGAAGTTGAATCCAGTATGCTTGTTTAGTGATGTTCTACATTTGTACATGGAACCAGGGAGTCGTACCCGTCCTGAATGCTGCCAAGAATGACAGCAAAAACTGTGGTAAACTACAGATTACGAGCTAAATTGCGGTGGGATACAGTTGATTGATTCCTTCAGAATAACCCCAAATATGCGTCCCAAAACGGCCCTATTTATGCAGCAAAATTCAGGAAGTACCTTCGTACCCAACTAAACAATCATTGGTGCGGAATGAGGTTGCGCATAGCAGCGGATTCAGACGGTGAAGAGGATATAATCGGTATAGGAAATAGAATATTCTTCAACAAAAACACTATGGCCGAGCCAAGGCGCAAGCCGAAAATAATAGTCTGGGCACGAGAACAATAGTCTTCAACTATTAGTCGTAATTCAGTTCCAACATGTGGTTTAATTAAAAAATCAGATATGTACTACAGTTTTCCCTTGCTATACCGGACCTCGTTGTACCGGAAACCTTGCTATACCGGATACTCTCAGGTTGCTACATACCGCTCCCATACAAAACCCTCTTGCTATACTGGACGCACTAAGAATACCGGACCAGACAGGAATTGCCAGGCACTTACCCCCCTGTCTCCATACAAATAATATTTGCTATACGGAGGTGTGGCAGAAAAGTAATTTCCACCTTCCGTTTTTGGAATAGCGTAGCTTGGCGCATATGCACACGAAATATGCATTACTATGCATAACAAGCTGGTCAACCCCGCATTCAACCCCACATTATAGCTTAAGCACTCTTGTTCTCCAGCTCTCCTTCGCCAGCTCTCCTTCGCTGGCTCTCCTTCACCAGCTCTCCTTCGCTGGCTCTCCTTCACCAGCTCTCCTTCGCTGGCTCTCCTTCACCAGCTCTCCTTTGCCAGCTCTCCTTCGCTGGCTCTCCTTCGCCGGCTCTCCTTCGCCGGCTCTCCTTCGCAAGCTCTCCTTCGCCGGCTCTCCTTCGCAAGCTCTCCTTCGCCGGCTCTCCTTCGCCGGCTCTCCTTCGCCGGCTCTCCTTCGCCAGCTCTCCTTCGCCAGCTCTCCTTCGCCGGCTCTCCTTCGCCAGCTCTCCTTCGCCAGCTCTCCTTCGCTGGCTCTCCTTCGCCAGCTCTCCTACGCTGGCTCTCCGCCAGCTCTCCTTCGCCAGCTCTCGTTTTCTAGCTGCATTCTCCTACTGTGTTCTCCAACTCTTGTTCTCTATCTCTCATTCTTAAGCTCCTGTTTTTCAGTTTTCATTATTCAGCTTATTAAGATGTTTGATATTGTAACTAGAGCTCAAGCAGTGATTTTGAAGGCAGTAGGAGAGTGTCTTGTTGAGATTCAGCGGCAAACTGGAATTACCTCTCGACAGGTTACCAATCTTTATAATAAAGCACTTGAACGAGGCTGGTATCCTGGAACCCCTCTCTCTTCATTTCATGTTATTGATACCCCACGCTCTGGAAGGCGTAAAAAAATTACACCTGAGGTGGAACAAAAATTGATTGAGGCTATCAAGTATGATCGTTATGGTCGGGAAAAGTCAGTTCGTTCACTAGCTGTTCAATTTAATATATCTCGCTATAGCGCATGGAAGGTACTACGAAAACATGGATTCAGAAAAACCAAACCTACACGAAAGCCTGGCTTGACAAAAGAAATGAGAGAAGCACGTTATCAGTTTGCTTTACGATATCAGCATTGGACTCTTGAGGATTGGAAACGAGTGGTTTGGACAGATGAAACTTCCAGCTGTTTTTTCAGTCGAATTTTGCACCCGGTAATAGCTTCTACTAACTCTGCAGCTGCTTCTAGGTGGGAGAAAGCCAACCTGGAAATTTAATGTGAAGAACGGAGCTTTTTCTAGAGAGGAAAGCAAAGGTGGAGTTGATTGGTATAGATACTTAAACGAAATTCTTCTTACCAAACTTCTTCCATTTGCTGAAGCTGCCAAATGCTTTATTCCAAATATTACTGTCATGGAAGATAAGGCTCCTTCTCATGCTTCCAAACATCAACGAGTTTACTTCGATGTCTCAGAAATTGAACGTTTCATTTGGCCTGGCAACTCTCCAGACTTGAATATGATTGAACCATGTTGGGCTTATATGAAGCAAGCAACAACTAAGAAGGGTCCTTTAACTTGCCGTCTTACTGCTGAAAAAGTGTGGCTTAAGGTATATTAGATACAATATAATGTTTAATACTATTAGTAGCTAATTTTGATATCTATACTAGGCTTGGAAGGATCTTGAACAATGGAGAATTCAATCATGGATTGAGCGAATTCCTCGTCATATTCAAGAAGTGATTAAACTTGAAGGAGGTAATGAATATAAGGAAGGGAGGACAGGAAAACGTCAATCTGATAAATTACGGAAGTCAGATATCAGAAAAAAAATCAAAAAAAATCGTCAAGTTTGCCAGCAAGCATATACTACCTTTAAGCAAATGACGAAAGATCTTCCAGAATCCTATATAGATTATTTTACTTCTCTTTTTACTGGTTCTCTCTGGGTAGATGTTGAAGAAGTTGAAGAAGTTGATGCTGATCAATGGAATGAAGATGAGTTAGAGCAGGAGCAGGAACAAGAGTCTGGTGAAGAGCAAAGGGAAGGACGGAAAGGAAAACGCAGATCCAGAAAAGGGAAAAAAAAAAAAGGTACTAAAGAGGGAAGAGTAACTAAACGTGGAAGACCTCCAGGACCACCTAAATTCAATGTTCGTTTTCTTCCTATTAATGAGATTGTATATAAACACTCAAAATAAATCTACTATATTTCACTGAATTCAAATCCTTCAATACAACTTATAGTCAGCAGGTCAAACTCAAACTCATTGCGTCTGTCAATAAATATACTAACTGTATATAATATGCGTGCGCATGCGTCATATGCATCATATACCGCATATGCACATATGCATTGTATTTTATGCATAATATGTTGAATATGCGCCAAGTTACGCTTTTCCGAAAACGGAAGGTGGAAATTACTTTTCTGCCACACCTCCGTACCGGATACACTAACACTGATACGTCCAGTCTTGGCTATCCCACATTGCATTCACCTTTCAGATGCTTACCAAAATTAACGTTACATAATAAAATTAGGCTGTCGTTGTTCCCAATTACATTAATTTTCCTGCCCATCCCTATTCTGTTCTGCCAAGAATTTTATTCTATAACGGAACCTTGCTATACCGGACGAAAAAGGCCGGATTTTACAGATCCGGTATAGCAAGGGAAAACTGTAGTTCCTACCTATCTATGTTAGTGCTCTCGCCAATACTTTCCTCAATAGGAGTGTTTACGCCACCATTACCAGCTCTTTAGCCGTATGATTCTGCTTGGTATGAGATTAAAACAGCTTTGTTGTTAGTGTTGCAGATAACTAGAGCGAGCAGATGTTTATGCTGATAGAGCAATGGTTTAGGTACATTTCCGACATCTCTTGCTTAGATTGTACAAATGCCTTTACTCTTCACCAAATTCAAGGTTGTGTGGTGTAATGGTAGCACGTATCGTTGTGGAATCACTTTGTGGCATCCCGACGGCCCGATACAATCGCGGTTCGATTCCGTGCACAGCCAAATCTTTTAGTTTTGTCCGAAATACCGTCACCTTTCTTTTTCTGCTCAACCGCGCTGTTTTGTACCCCCGACCCCGCTTTTGTGTGCTCTGGCGTTTTGTTGCCGCTTGAGACGAAGAAACGAGTATTCTAAAGTCCGGTGGATTTCGCGATCGGCATTTCCAACAGTTACAATAAAGCTTGTGAAACATTTTTAACACTACCATGCTCTAAATAACAGTTTTGGTCGGAGGCAAGCCATAAACCGGTCGGCGTGTCAGTGCAGCGCTCCGACCAATAACTGAACCTGACAGACACTCCCCCACGCACGCCATCTCACTTCCACCCTAGCCAAGCCATCCCGCCGGAGAGTGGATCAATGACAACCCCACGCTCGATTCTGCTCGTGGCTGTCCCGTCACTAGTCCGCTTACCGAAGCGGGAACGATAACGAAACCGAATTACCTAGTCAGTACGGCCGCGAAGGCCGAAAATAATTGTCTGGGCACGAGAACACCTAGATAGTGCTGTTTCATTAGTTGGATGCACCAAGGTTCTCCACGCGAAACGAGAGTATTCCCTGGCACTGCTACGCGGTAATAATGTAGCAGGCAATCCATTTGGCCTCGTTGTGTTAGCCCTTGTAGAATGCGGAATGACGCCAAGAAGATGGTTGTGCAAAAATGACTGCGAAACAACAACCCCAGGTCATGATAACTTTTTTTCTGCAAGTTTTTCAACAGAAGTAAAATAAAACGGAAAAGAGTGAAAAATTTAATTTTGGCTGTGCACGGAATCGAACCGCGATTGTATCGGGGCCGCTGAGGTTCCAATTGCAAATTGGAAATCCACAACGATACGTGCTACCATTACACCACACAACCCAACTGATGGCAGTTGGTCAAGTCTTTAATCCATAAACAATCACTACCTTCTCCCTCTAGGGACCAACCTATCCCCGACTCCTAATTTTCTTGCCCATGGCCAAGACTCCATTTTAAGCTCTCGAAGGCGCCGTTGTGGAATTCCCGCTTCAATAAATCCTAGCTTGCCTGCCACATTGTCCCAGGAGATCGGGATAAATTTCGACAATGGATGCCGTCCCCTCGTTCGTATGCATTGGCATTGACGGACAGTAACATGAGCATGCATGGACCACCGTGGGAGGGTCAACTACCATCTGCGCGGATTTTTCTGTGGGGGTTGCCAGAGTAATTGCGGATGAGTTAGATATACAAAGGTTTGATTGAATTTCTGTCCTGAAGACATGGGAGTTGACTCATAACCATGGTGTCAGACTTGAATAATTCTTAAGTGGGAAGTGAGGCAGGCAAACATAGAGTGCTTGAAGTCTGGTCAAGCAAGCACACCGACACAGACACTGGGGACACCAACTTTTCTTTCCTCCACTCGTGCTGATCACTTCCCGATATTCATGGCCAAAGCATTTCTGCAAGATTATGAAATTTCCGCTATTGAAATTCTGCTTCGGCCCTGCCGTCAACTTTGGGAGCCTCCGTCTGCTTCTGCTCGCGCTTGACCTGTCAAATATGTCAGACCTGTCAACTCATCACGGTTATTCATAAGCCATTGGTAAGCTGCTTACTTCAGGGGTAGCATCAACATTTAGCTACCCTTTTGAAGTTATGTCAATGGTTATGAGATTTAGATTGATAGTGTTGATTGACTTCTGCTTGATCCTTGCTAATATCACGATCTCAGCTGGCAACCCAGCATCCCAACAACTGAGACTTCGGATGGCAATGAGACATTGCTCTCCGTTGTAGTGAGGGAAACTTTCGCCTAGGTACAAGAGCAGCATGACACGATGAATGAAACTAATTCACATGAAGAGGCTGAATGTCCATTCAAATCCAGAAACCAACCATTTGGCAAAACGGCGAAATTCAATCACCGAGCAAGCATCTCTAGGTAATGGTATCAATTTGCAATTGGTTCAAGGCGTACATTACAAATACAGATTCGCCGTCCACCCCCATGCTCCGGACTTAACTGAACGGATGCATCCCCCCTTCGCAACCTTATCCCGAATTCGCCGACGCTAGTCGTTCATACATGGGTATCGTACCACTGCAGCTGTGTCCAGCCAGCTGGAAGCGGCCTATTATCCCTGTGGGAGATCACTAGACAAAAACCGCTAGTTTGGTAGTGCACGTTCAAGCTCGCTAAGCTTGCTAGATCTGGTGCCCAGTGGGCGGCAGTTATGACATTCCTGAGTCCTGAGGCCTGTGCTCGTGGGAACCTGGATTGGGAACCGGGGAAGGGGTGACGTTGAGAGTTTATTGGAATGGCGGGTGAGCCCTGGGCGCTTCGAATAGCTGCTTGAAGCGGAATCAGGATGCAGATCTATAATGACAAGTGATAGAAGGGGGAACCTGCCAATTTTAAAGGCAGAAACGTCAAAGTTCTTCTGTATACTGCGCAATAACCTCCGTCGGTTGGTCCATCATATTGCTTGAGCTCGAGCTTTGCATGATTCTGCTCAGGCCAGAGATTTTGAACTGTGCTTTGAAGTGCTCGACTAGCCGCAGGAGGAGACGCATCCTATGTGTTGGCGGTGCAGTATTCCCCCTCCCAAAAAAAAGAAACTCACTTAAGTAGCGCTTGATTCCTGCAGGGACTCGGGAGTGGCAGAGGCTAATATAAACTTTATCTGTATGAGGCACATGCAAGAATACAAGGTTGTGCATCGAGGCTGCTTATATAAATCAATCAGGTAAGTGACACTAGTACTCCCCGCGGCGGCACATTGGCGAATAGGAGCACGCTTATCATATCAACAGGAGAAAGTGAGACGCGCGTGGAGGGGTTATAGGTTTGAGCTGAGGCATCGGTCCCTAGAAAGACTGGGGCGGCAACGATCGCGAGAATGTTAGGTCAGATTCTGAGGGGGAATGATCGACGAGCTGGAGAGATAAGATACGTTATATAACACTACGATGGATACGTACCTGAAGATGTTCCGCAATTGTAACAACGCCAGAGTGCTGGCCATTCTGGTACCTCCAACCCAAGTCCCTTACTGGCTTGCGTGTAAAACCGCCGAAGCGCTAATTACAAGCGAGACGCCAAGCATATGCATACGTAGACATCGACTATAAACAAACAAACGCAAAGAGAGAGAGAAAAAAAAGGAAGAACCTGTGCCAGCTCCCTGCGTAACCCGCCTGTGGCCCAGCCGATAAACACACCTCAATGATGGCCTACTGCAGCTAGTTGGTTGACAGTTGGTTGATCAGGCCACACCGTCGCTCTCAGCTTTACGATATTGGGTATGTCACAAGACGGTTCCCGCCTGAGGGGTATGTGCTCATTGGACAGGGTAGGAGTGGTTGACGGGTCGGACTGCAGGAGGAGACGACTGCCCAGGTAAATCAGGACGGAATTGCAGAGTATGGAAAGGAAGTGGCCAAAGGGGAAGAGTGGCTCTGCTGGACATACCAGAATAACAGGTCTGAGCATAGAGCAGGACTGAGCAGACATGTTGATAGAGTTCTTTTGACATGGACGAGTTTATAGTGTGTATGAGAAGCCGTGAGTGTCTGACAGTTGACTTGTCTTAGGTTTTATCATGTTACTTTCCTTTCTAGTAGCTGCGGCTTTCGCTGTACCCCACTAGCAGCATGCGAGTAATGATATTCTAAAAAAGTAACACCGATAAACCTCTGATAATGGATAGTGTCAGGACTGGGGGCCTTATCTAGTAAGTATAGATATGCAATAACGGAGGTTTATTGAGTGGAGAAGTTTATGTAATTGATAGTGCTAATACAGGCCGGAGGGAACAAGAATATACGGTCTAGGAGTCAATATGAACATGGGCGGGCTAGGAGGAGCGAGGAAATGTACTTGGTAATAATAGTTTGCCTGACAGGACGAGATAGCTGAACTACATTCAGCTGTCTAGCGATCCTGTGCAGCAGTGCTGTAAATGTTTCGTGTCACCCTCGGAAGCTCATCCTGAAGGTATACCTTGTGAAAACGGCTTCAATGTCTTGACAGCCTTCGATGCTTCAGCAGGGGAGTGCGGGACGCTTTTGAGCATGCAGAAACTACAGATAGCGTTCCGTATCTGTGGATCCTCATAGGCACGCCTGCCCTTCTTACACTGGCCACCGACAGTACTAGCATCTGGCGTAGACATGATGAGTTCCAGTACTTAAGGTTCAAAATATATGAATTCTAATAGCCAATTGGGGTCCTGTACCCGTTTATTCACGCAGTATAGCTACTATCCAGCATCAGCCATAACCCCAAAAATGGGACGGGGAGAGATTTATCTGGAATAATATCATAAAAGGGCGTTATCTGATATATATTATCAGTCGAACTTTTAGTTGAAATACGTAACATCTTCATCAACTAATCCTAGGAACACTCCTTCTACAGTCAAACCTGTCATATTGGACAACCGTCGGGACCGGAGGGTTCTATCCAATAAGACAGGTTATCCGCTTAGACAGGTTTGAGTGAAAAACTCAATTCTTGTGCTATATACATGCAGTCAGAGCTATAGCAGGTAAGTACATGAATCATAAACTATAAAGGTGCAAAATAAGAGGTAATAGATGCCTGTTTCAGAAGGCACTTGAAGCTCTGAATGCTGTTGAGGATAACAAAATGGTACCATTCAGCCTTAGTAGGATCTTCGTTTGCACTTCTATGCCATAGTGTCTACCATGTTATGTACTGACAGCTATTTAAGGTACGAGCTCTGTACCTGCCGGTAACATCACTATATATAAATTACTAGTAGAACAATCCCACAGGAGTGGTGGGTTTAACAGCCGGTTAAAGCTCATGATCCTCTCTAGTATTCGCGCTATCCAATATGACAGGTTCGATTACCATGTAAATTCGGGAAACGGGCTAGCAAATATGCTATCCATCCAATAATGAAAATATCCAGTATCTACACCGGCCCAAGCTCGGGCCGGCGAAGTTCATCCAATATGTCAGGCTTGACTGTACTCACGTTCTTCAGGAATCTGAGCAAGCTGA